GAATAAGTGTATTGATTTACTTCATGGTGACGGCGTGATCACCAGAATATTACCAATAGACCAACCTGATAAATGCCAATTACATGCTGCCTGGGATTCTGAAAAAGGAAAGACATTTTCTCCTGAAAACTTTTTTCTGTCCATAAGGTATGCTACACCTTGATAATTCTTTATAACCACTATATAACTTACATAAAAAAAGCATTCAAGCTTTTAGACTTTACACCTCTCCTCCCCAAAAAATTCTCTCCCATTGTATTTGCATTTTTTTTTCTTTGATAATAATTTTTTAATCAGTAGACTGGATATTAGCAGAACAGTTCTTTATTGATCAAGATACATAATGAAGCTGATTATGTGGATTTTCCACATAAGTCCTCAAAGATACAGGAAGCATGCTGTCTAACACATAAATGCATTGACAAGGTCAGACTTTTCATTGAATGGAGAAGTCCTAATGGTGGGGTCTTTCCTATACAGTAGTAGCAGCATGATTACAGCAGTTTCTCAGTAACTTGATTTGTTCTCTTCAGCCTGTCAGAGTTCAGCTCCATATTGTCTAGAAGAAACCTTTAATTATAAACATGAGAAAATTGTAGAAATGAGCATTTTATCCCCTCCCTTATTAAAATTGTGCTACCATACAAAGAAAATCTAAGATCTTCAAAGAAGAGTATTATTCTTGCCGTGGTATTAGAACACACACATCTGAGTGTCCATGGCTCCAAATAACTGCTTCTAGAATTATTTCTATATTATGTTGTTAAACAGAGTATTCTGTGTTGTATTTGCTACAACCTGCACACTTTGTAGTCAGAAGAGGTGGGTTTGAATATCTTGAGCTATGAAAATGAACTGATATTTTCCATTTCCTGAACCCTTGCTCCAACAAGAGGGGTATTAATCTCTGTGGAATTAATCTCTGACATGCAGTGGGGAGATTTATTTTCAGAAAGCTGTATGACAACAGTTTATCAGTAGCAGAAAAACCAGCAAATGGTTAAACTGAAATTTTTCAGTATACAAAAATTACATGAGTATGATGAACATCATTTTCCCTTTAGGGAAGGAAGAAAGTGGACAGCCTCAAAAACTTGGTCTGCTAGCTCACCTCAGGGGCTGATAGAGTCCTGGCTCCACAACTGCCAGCCCTGGGAAGGGTTCATCATGTTGATTGTCCTAAATTTATGCAGGATCAAATGCAAAAGGGATTTTGCTTCTGCTCATTTCCTCTTAAAGAACTGGGGACCCCTGCACATCTAGGATCTCTGCAGTCTTGGGAGACATAGCTTTTCCTAGGTGTGGACTTTGGAATCCACAACAGAGAACCAGGACTTTATAAGCATGATTATGTCTAACAGGGCCATAAATCCTAACTTGGAGCAGTGGGTTAGAGGCTGGAAAAAGCCTTGCCATAGCTGAAGTTTTACAAGCCTATCCCAGGTCACGTATGACCTGCATCAGAGCACATGGTGATGAATACTGGCCTTTCTCTTCTCTATACAAGTTCCCAGCCCTTCATAGGGCACAGAGACAGCTAGGAGAGGCATGAGGACATCTCACTGCTGTGCTAAATCACATCTCTCCAGTTTTTGGAGCATGTACATCAGATGCCCCGAAGTATTAGGCTGATTAGGTGTAGCTGATGTAGCAAGTTTAGTATATTGAGTATCTGCTTGCACTGGAAGCTAGTATGCATTTAGCTTAAGTCCTTAGATGCTAACCTGGTTTATTTCTTAATGGTTACTTTGCTGATGAGAAGCAATGATGGTTTTCATTTCTTATTCTTAGCATAATTGAAAATCTTTTTGGTAAATGATGGTGTACCCATAAACTGCAAGTATGGAGAAACAAAAACAATATCTCTTTGCAAGTAAAAATCAAACCCCAGAACAACTTTTGAGCCGTAAAAACTCAAACTAATCTAATCATGTCAAACAAACTGTAAATGCGTGCTGTGTTTCAGTCAATATGACTGATTACCTGTCACTCGGCTCTGATTTCTTCCTGCTGTGCCCCTTGGAACCATCTTTGTTTTAGAAACTAAGAGGCAGCATGTGTAAATTGTTAGCTCACCTCCACCTCAGTTTTATGAACGCTTTTGTGGCTAAGTTATTAGCCCTGTCAGTTACTTCAGCATAAAAGCATCATAACTCATTTATTTTTATCATCCTTATTGATGCTGGTCAACCTGAAATGAAAAATCTTGACCAGGCAATATTCATTGCTACCATCTTTCCTATATGTGAAAACATTTTCATTTGTATGCAATATATGTGACGTCAGTCATTTCAATCAGTTAAAAAGGGAGCTAGCTGCAGAGTCCAGTTTCATACTGCAGTATGAGGGAAGTAAGGGTTAGAGGAGAAAACTTAGAAAACACATTTAAAAGAGGTTTTTGCAAGCAGAAGAAAGATTTCTGTTGGCAGAGAAGTCACATGAGACAAAATTTGACAGAACTGTTGGAGCAGCGTAACCAGCTGCTGCATAAGTTTGTGTGAGATGCTTCTTCCATCATTCCTGGAAGCTGCAGAGAACGAGGCTTTCAGGACCTTTGGGAGTAAAAGACTATTACTCAGGCCTGTTTCAATATACCTCTATAGCAAATGGAGGTAGTAGTGTATACAGGCAAAATGGACAATAAAAACTGAATAATGCTAAACTGTCACAGCAAGTCGACAGCAAGAAATAATGTCTACTGGAAATAGAAAAATAAAAATCTACAAAACTATCTTTCTGTCACATTTCATGTACAGCATATATTGATCATTTCAAATGTCCTCTGTAAAAAGGCTATTTGGGGGGGGAGGGAAGGGGAGGACATTTTCATGCTGTGCATTATATTCTATTGAAGGTATTCCCTGAGCTGGCAACAATATGCATTCTTTGTTTTCATTTATTTTATTCTGAAAGTGTGTTGCCACAGTAGCACCATTAACAGCTTCTATATGCTGTGAAGTTAATATTACAGGAGGACAATGGCAGTGTAATTACAGGCTACATCTTCAGAAATCTGACTCTTGCAGAGTTGAAGATTGCTTCAGAGTTTCAAATTAATCTGGACGACCCTATCTTTATTGCTGTTGAATTTCTGGAAGTGATGAAATGCCAAGTCATTGAAAGTAACTGATAAAAGCCTAAACAATCTGAAATGAGTAATGTAATCTTTCTTTGACTTCATCTAAGTCCCATATGCTTTACAGTCAGGTACAATATTTTATAGACAAATTTATATTTTAGTGAATCTGAGTGCCCTTCAGATCCCTAAGAATAGATCAACTATACAAAGATGGAAAAATCCATTATCATATGCTCTTACATTTCACAGTCAACAAAACTGTGGCTGTAAACAGCAAACACTGCAACAGTGATTTCTGTCATCCAGTATAAGTGGCCATAAAAGACCTGGACATCAGGAATAGAATTATGCTATGGAAACTTAATATAAGATTCAAGGCCTTTTGGGTCTCTTTTCTTCTACCTCTACTGCATAAGTTGCATAACAGAGACCCAGTAATACACATATATACAAGTGACATTAAATAATAGGAGGATTTGTGATTGTCTCTTGCATACCATGTCAAAATTTTATTCTTTACTCTTTTCCTCACCTGGAAATATTGTAAAGCTAAAAAAGCTGACACAGCATGCATTGTAAGAAGAAAACGACAGGGAACAGTACCTGATGTTTAATTCAGTGCCTGGATGTGAAAGTCATCTATCCTGTTGTTACATGATATACAACTTCTCAGAGCCTCATTTTGCAATGTGTGACTGAATGATGCTGGGTGGAAATCTCTGAGACATCCCCCAAACATACCTCCCACTAGTCACAGTTCCCTGTCCTGCTAGTCTATTGAAAAAGAGGTGTAAACTTCCTCCTATGTGTTCATATGTAGAGGAACTGAGCAGGCCATTGCTGATATTTTCTCTTTGAGAGCTGTGGGAAATTGACCCAGGAAAATGAATTGACAGGACTAACTTTGTTCAGAGCCAGGATGAAGTGAATCAAACATCCTGGGCTCCATCAGTTGCTAGAAGTTTTGAGAGCAAAGGCTGGTGTGTGGAAGTAAGCACTGCCTGCCCACTGGAAATATTGGTCATGGTGGTATTCACTGGCAGTTGTGTGAAGTAACAACTCCAGCAAGAGGTGCAGCTAAACAGGGAAGACAGGGACTTTGGGAGCAGTGAAGTAAGTCAAGGCACCATGTTGTAAACCCAGGCCTGCTGCTACTGCTGTCATTAACATCACAGCTCCCTCAAAGTACTCTGGACATTTTCTTTTATCTCTTTGAACTGTTACATCTAGTGTTTTTCCAACATAGCTGCTTCCCTGAGTGAAACCATTTTCTCCTCACATATCTGCAGTAATGCTTATTTTAAACGTGTAATTTTTTGTGGTTTGTTTTTATTTTTTATTACCAGTTGTAGTAAATAATCTGAAAATAAAACTGTACAAAGCTAAAAATTGTTTTGCTCTGAAATTTTAGTCAGAGCACCCTCTCGTGGCTCATGTGTAAACAATAATCTTTATATATTCCCCCCACAAGGAGTAGTTCATATATTTATAATACCACATTTTAAAGAAACAGGTGGAAATCCTTTTTCCACTGAATTTTTATTTTTAGCTACTATGAAATGCATAGATATATTTTCTCCAAAAAAAAAATCAGGAGGAAAATGTTTATAAACATGCACTGTCTGTAAGTACAATTTATTCCAAAAGAAAGCCACCCATATATGCAAAATTAACATTAGAAGTATAGATAGGCATCTCAAGAAATAGAGATGTTCAGGTCTTTACAGCTGCACTGGACAAAATCTAGAAACTAGGAGAAATCAATGGGTACAATTTTTCTAACCCTTTGTTGTTTTCATCTCCTAATTTTAATTGGATTGTTTAAGTCTTCTAATTTTGCACAGGCTCAATGCTTTTAGTTAGGCTACCTGTGTGAATTGTGAAGAAATCCCAAGAATGGCTGTCTACCACTTTGTTACAGGTATCTTCCACTTAAAAGTACCCGAGTCCTCTCACGTTGGTTCTGCTATTGGACGAATCAGAGCTGTGGACCCTGATTTTGGGAAAAATGCAGAAATTGAATACAACATAGTTCCAGGAGATGGAGGAAACTTGTTTGACATCACAACAGATGAGAACACCCAGGAAGGAGTCATTAAACTGAAAAAGGTATGTACAAGAATTAAATGTTGTGCAATTTTGCCTTATAAGTAATACACAGTAGCTTGTATCTCTATTAGAATATGTGGCCTGATCTTTGTCTTAAAAGACATGGGAGCTTGGTGTTTCATTTCATATACAATCAGATATGACTTCTCATAAATATTGTAATGGCAAAGAAATAATTTTTATATCTGTCTAGAAAGTATAGTTTCTCTTTTATGGAAAGTTATCCACCTAAATCCATACAAAAAATGTTTTAGTTCAGAACATGGAATGAAAAAGCTTAATTTATATTTGAGATAATATATTCCATTTTGATTCATATTTTGACAATTTTGAATTTGTGTTTGTTATTTTGATAATGAAGCTGTTGTACAGCACTGTGGTGAACAGAGTTTTTATTCGGGGTAGAGGAGGCCCAAATGGTTGCAAATTGCCATGTCCCACTTCCATTCTCATAACAGTGTCCTAAATACCTGGTTATTGGACACTCATGCTAGGGAACACACTGCATCTCAGCTGTTGATGCTGGTTTAGTCTACTATAATAAGTTCAATATTACTAAATTTATGAATTCCAAAGATTAAAAGGATGTGTGTAATTTGGAATTTAGTGATTAAAGCACTGGGTAGGAGAGATCAGGTAGTGTCATGCTTGTAGTTGTGAATTTTGTAAAATAAACACAACTATTAGCTGAACAAAAGGGTCTGGGAAGGAAAGAGTTCTGGACATGTGCATTAAGAAAAGCTTTAGGAAAAACAAAGCTTTAGTTACAATAAAATTTATAATTTAGGTACTTAGATTTCCCCCAGCTCTGATCATGGATCTATATTTGCATTTTATGCATTCTAATAATGGAAGTCCTGGCTTCAGTCTCTTGACCTGGGAAATGATAAATTATCCATGGGTGCATTAAAGGACCAGATTATGTCAAGTCATTAAGTCTTCTGCTGGCTTTAATGACATAAAATGGAAGTTAACATACTCATAGGAAGTAAGTTTTCAATGAGACACAAACTCTTTGCCCTCTTCACAACCCCTCTCCTTTTATGACTAAAAGTTTGAATGTACTGTTTCCTCCTAACATGAATTTGTAGAATTTGTTTCATTTTAAAAAAATTCTGATCACCTTCCTCCCTTTATGCAGATGACTCAAAAATAAGTCCATCTGAAACTATCAGTAATATTTGTTACTGATGAAGAGCATTCACATATGAATTTGCCTGATACAGTTATTTTAGGACCATCACAGGCAAAATGCCTGGCCATTTTGAGACTGCTGTATGGGGAATTACATAATACCTAACTGAAACACTAACTTGAAAGAAAATTGACAGAACCAATTCTATATCCAGATACTTTTTAGTAAGTCATTATATTTCACTGAATCTGTTTAATCTTTTCAGTAACAAGATGTGGTATAATCTGAAAGTTTAGGGCACTTTTACAACAACAAAAAAATTAGTCAATGTTGCCTAATGTATATGATAGATCTCTGTGGCTGAACAGGACAGAAAAAAATATGATCCTAATCCCTTCTGAATCTTCTTCATCATAGTGAGCCTGAGAACAGTGACAGACTGTGAAGATCAGGAAATAGCAGCTTTGTTCTATGCAGAAGTGCAGGAGGAACATAAGCCAAACTATACAGACCCTACACATTGCCTTTCATGAAAGTTTTTCAGCAAATAGATCCCATTCACTAAACTTTAAATAATCCAAGTGTTTTTAAACCGTTTGGAATCATCCAAAATTCATCCCCTAAAGTTCCTTGCTGGATCCTAGGTTATCAGGAAATAGCAGCTTTGTTCTATGCAGAAGTGCAGGAGGAACATAAGCCAAACTATACAGACCCTACACATTGCCTTTCATGAAAGTTTTTCAGCAAATAGATCCCATTCACTAAACTTTAAATAATCCAAGTGTTTTTAAACCGTTTGGAATCATCCAAAATTCATCCCCTAAAGTTCCTTGCTGGATCCTAGGTTAAATGAGCAGAATTCACTAAAGTTCCTTGCTGGATCCTAGGTTAAATGAGCAGTCTGTATTCTTAAAGGTACTATTCACTCAGTTGTCCTTTTATATCCTCTACACTTGTAATAATATAAATGTGTTTTCATGGGTTGCAGTTTTCAGATTTTTGGAAGTCCTGAACATCCTCTACACTTGTAATAATATAAGTGTGTTTTCATGGGTTTCAGTTTTCAGATTTTTGGAAGTCCTGAACATTCACAATTCTGTAGACACCTATTAAAATGCATGCTACTCGTACCGTACAAACCTGCAACACGCTATTCATTTGCCTGCAGAGAAGCAATTTCACATTGTATGGTGTTCAAAACACTGATTTGACCTTGTGGGATTATGCAAATATTTAGGTTAGGTATGCTTTAAGTCCTTCTTTAAATCAAAGCTGGTGAATGAATAGGGCCAGCACTTTCAATTATGAATGATAAATAATAAACAGTCCACTAATACAAAGCTCCATGTGCTTTAAAAATAGGTCTGCACTTTCTTCTGAATCATAACATATTCTGATACTGTAAGAGCTGCAGTAATTCAGTGCTGAGCTATTTCAAAACCATTTATTAAGTTTGCTTTTATTTTCCCTGAAAAAGTTCTTGCAACCAGAAACTGCCAGTCACTGCACAAATTAATTTTTGTTCTCTTGTTATTCAAAAAAGCATGGAGTGTTTTCTGTATCAAAATTGAGAAAAACAAAGCCTTCCTGGACTACATTTATTTTTGGTGGAAAATACATTTGATGGTAAAAATATTGAACTGTTCTTTTAAGCATGCTAAGTGCGTTGGCAGAGGCAAAAGACCATTCTCTGCTTCTTGGATGTTAAATGGGCACAAACAGCTACAGCTGGACAAGTTGCAGATCTTAAATCATCTGGTTTGGTTGCTCATTTATTTTCATGCTATGATCCAATGTAAGTCTGATTGCTACTACTCTTGTGCTAATTACATATATTAAAAATGAAATAGCTTTTCCTATGGTCTGCTAAATAAATCATCCAAATGCCATTTAGCACCACTGTGTGGTTAGTACTGTAATAGCTTCTCTCTCAAAAATAAAAGAAAAAAGAAAATATTTTCACTAAAAAGAGGGGGAAATGCCTGGCTTTAGGATAATGGTGTATACAGTTTTCTATAAAAGTAAGAAATAATACTGTATTAGGAATAGAATTATCATTTCCTCCCTTGTCTGGTGCTCTTTGATACAGTGTTTACTGCATTTGATATTTATATAGTATCTGCCATCCTACCTGCATGCTTCAGCAAACTACAATGAGTGTAAGCTACAAGAAGCAGAGTGACAAACAGGACCATCTTCTACATACAAGGGTGTAGTGGCCTCATATGCATCAGTCCCAGGCAACGTCCTGATTTTGAAATCTTTAATGCCTGGGCAAAACAGTAAAGGAAAAAAGAAGACTCCAAGCTGCACTGAACAGTTAGCATTACTTAGTTATTAAACTAAGAATGAGTTTATATGTAAGGCCATTGTGTGCAGAAGCCTCTTAATAGGCTCAGCATGAGCTAATCCAGAAACTGAACAGGGTTCAAGCACTGAACTTCATGACATCACTTTACTAATTTGTGCAGTATGTCATTAAAACGCAGGAAAAAAACTGTTTCTAGGCTTTGCCTGGTATGATCCTACACTGTTCTACTGCACTGTATGAACTTCTCCATCCGGGTGAGAGGAAGCTCAGGGAACATCCATGTCTTATCTTTTGTAAGCTGTGCACCACTACTGATTCATCAGGTGACAAAGCTGTAGCCATGACTTCACTGCATGTCAGGGAGGACATAGCACTGCACGATGAGAAACAGTAGCTTTAGTGATGATAAAATAACAGACACTAGAGGCATTGATGAACAGACCCAGTAGCTGCAAGGAAGTATTTGGAGCATGTTCTTCCTTGTAACTCAGGAGCCACTTTTAAAAAGCCTTTAGTTTCAGTCATCAAGTAGAACTTTGCTGGCTAAGCTGTGTTGTCTTCCTCATGTGACAGCCCATGTGTGTAGGGCTGCAATATTGCTATCACTTAAGAGCAGTTAGGTAGCTTCTGTACAACACAACAGTGAAGATAAGGCAGACTCCTATCATCCTTCAATGAGACCTGCATTATAGCTACTATTTGCTTTACTCTGAACTCTGTGCAGACTGCTCATCCCATTCAATCCCTTCATTCTACAGAGGCAGGGAACTCCCTCTGCAGCTGTGAGCATAGGCGCTGTCTGTAATCATAACTTGTGAGATTGTGTGCGTGGGAATTCTGGTTTTGCATTTTGAGGAGGAGGAGCAGGTGATACTAAGCCCTTCAGTACAGGAAAAAAGTGGCGAGCTGGGTGCAGATGCAATCACAAAGAGCATGGCAGCCACAAAGAATTACCTGAGCTGCTGTGCACACCTGAACAGAACCTTGTGAAAAATCTAATTTACATAAGAGGCTGCACCAGGTTACCTATAAATGGGAATGGGTCAGGTCCCCTTGCTCTCTTTTTCCTGCTCTCTCTCCTCTGTCTGTCTTTCATGCTTTGCCCCAGGTCCAGAACATCCACATTTGGACCAACGCAGGATCTAAGGGCTGGTGATTTTCTGCATTAGCTCTCTTCCTTTTCTGCCTTTCTCTCTCTCCCTATGCTTTGCTTGGGCAAAGCATGGCTGTTGTACTTAACCCCCGTGTGCTTCACTGAAGTTTGTGCGAGTGGGAAGACTGTAAAAAGTGGTGCTGTGGCTTGTGAGCAGCAGCTTTGAATATTGGTGTGTTGTGGCTTGTTAATTAGCACCTTTGGTTGTGTGTTTTGGCTTGTGAGTCTGCACCTTTAAAAAATTTATTGTGGGAATTGAGAAATTACTGTACTATATTGTACAAATTAAGGGCTTGTTATCCTCCACTCCTGTGGACGTTGGTTGTATAAATTTAAGAGCTTGTTTGCTAACGCCTTTTGGGTGCAAGTATTGGCTTGGGTGCAGGTGTTATGGCAACTGTACAATAAAACCTAAAATTCCCTGGCACATGGTCTGGTGTCTTTGTTCAGCCTGATGAGAATTAATAACGAACATCACGCCCCCTACAGGTGTATCGTGACAACAGCAAATAGTCCTATGGCGATATTTCACCAAATGCATAGGTGCTCTACTCATTTGAAGGGGAAAGTGTTGCTGGATTTTGAGACCAGAACATACGACACAGAGTTGTTCTATAATTGCACAGCGCTAGTATGAAGTCATACTTAAGTTAATATGCACTTCCTCTCAACCCAGTCCTGCTGTCAATAAACATCTATATGTCCTGGGACTTACGGTCTCATCTCAAACCATGGTTTTCCCAGTGTAGGTGAAAGCCTGTATCAGAAACAATACTGTTGTATCTCTTATGTGTAGATAAAAGGCAGAAATTTGCAGAGTTTCTGGTCTTTGTGAAGCAGAGAGAACTGGCAGGGTAATTCTTTTCCCACCCTTGTCGTGCTTATCATCAGAATTCAGTATATATTTTACACCATTTTGTTTCTCTCAGTTCTTAATGCTCTCTCTCTCTCATATACAATTTTAGATACAGATGCATCTATATAGCAGCATTTCTTCAGCCATGAATATGTGAAACAGTAATATTTCAAAACATACTTGTTTCTAATACAGAGCTGGTTTTGTGCTCTCCTAGTCATACTAAATAAGTCTGTTCATGGTACTAACAGAGTTGTAAGATAAAGTGATTTGTCAGTATGTTTTATTTGATCTGGGGATTTGTAGCATGCCTTTGCTGCACACAAGTGTGTATATGCTGATAGCACTTTACTAGGCAACTATATAGAGCAACTTGTAACCGTGACATAGGAAAAGGCAGATAAGAACCAGCTGGAGGGGCCAAATACATCTATTCTGTCACAGGTACTTAGAATGTCAATTAGAAATACCCCTGTAATTATTTAGTAGTTCACCATTAATAAGATTAAGAAGACATTGCCTTAATATTAGACAAAATGCTGTTTGCTGTTTACTAATTACTTTTGTAAAATAAAAGCCTTATTCAAACTCAGTTTTCTGCAGGTAATTATTTTAATGGAAGAAATAAACATTTATATTGGTTATTTATAAAAAAATTACTATGAAGTAAGTCAATTAAAATCTGATTAATTGAAAGAAATTTCAGTAACTTTACAAGGCAGGGGTTTTTTTTAAGATTCAAATATTCAGTTTGTACCCTTACTGGCATTCCAGATGAAACAATTAAAATGGGACTGAGGACTGTCAGACAGTTTTGCTGTCATGTAACAACAAAACACGTGGGGGGTTTTGTTTGTTTGGGGTTTTTTTTAATGCAGCTAAAATACTGCGTGGACTACTTACTTCCTTGATAGATTTTAGTGGTATCTACTAAAAAAAAAAATATAATGAGATGCATTTTTCAACATATTTAAAACTAAATTTCCAAAAGGTTTTGCCTGAGAGCTAGGCAGACATTTAGTTCTTCTTTTCTGGCAGACTCTGGACATATCAGACAAATGCCAAAATTTGAGACTGTCAATAGCTTTGAGACTGTCAATACGGCTCAGCTGTTCGAATCTGGGAAGAGCAGAACTGATCAAGAGGTTGTAGCATGGACTCCCCATAAACACAAGACACTAAAACCATACTCTTTTTGTTGTATATGTTGCACAAAATCTCTTTTTGAAATTGTCCTAGGTTTACCACTTGCAACATTTCTCATCTCTTCACACATTTCAGTTGCAGTTTAGCCTCACTTATATTAAAAGTCTAAATTCTGCTTTTTTTGTGGGAGTCAATAACTGATTTCTTTCTCTGATGATAGCTCATCACTTTCAGCCTGTCTCTTCTTATTTTGAGTGCCATCTGTGCTTTGCATTGGCTGCACATTACTTAACCTCTAACTATATTTACCAACAGACCCATAAAAGGATAGAAAGAAAGAATGAGTTGCTCTGAGGTTACAGTGGAAAAGCATTTTCCTTTCTTCAGGTCACACTGTCTTTTCAAAAATATACCTTAGTATTGCCCCATTATGCTGTGGGGTAGAGAAGGAATGCAACTACTTTGTCTATTTCCTGGGTCGCTGTGCAGTGAAACATGCCAGTCTGAGTATACCAACAGACAGAATTGCTCAAAATCTCACTGCTTTCTGTTCCCCTTTCATCATGAAAGCTGTAACCAGGCACTGGCGGTGCACTGGGAACTGGTACTCCTGCCTTGAACAGCAGCTCGGTGAAAGACAGCCTACGAGGACTGCATGAATTATGGCTCTTTCCATGAATATATCTATCTGCAAATATACTGATGCTTCACAGGAGCCAGTCTGAACAGTTTTAATGCAATTTTGGGGATATGAAAGATACATACAAGGTGTTATCCAGCATTATCACCTAAATGAGAACATAGATATCTTGCTTTCTCTGCCTTAATCATTTATTTCTAGCTTAACCCCTTATACTTTGCCCTTTTCCTCTCCAGACTAGCTCTTTAAACTTCAGATTTCTCCTCTTATTATATTTTTTGAAAACATGGTAACAATTTATATAAATATCTGGAGAAGAGTTGTGGGCATTTGTCTGGGGAAGTATTTTTGGCAATGCACAACAGTGAGCATGAGTAGTATAGCCACTGAAAACACAGCGTGGCAACAATTTGGGTAATGGAGCAGCATACCTATTTGGGGGCAAGACAACGTCTTGGGGTAGCATTATTGGGGCACAACATATACCATACTTAATTTTATCTGTTTCTACTCAGCCGTAGTTACTTCTTTTTTCTGTCAGTCCAGTCATGAAGGTGCAAACCATTCTGGCTTTTCTGGGAATTTTGTCTGTAGGAGGATGGCTGTGTGTGGTAGTAGGTTGCTTTCAAACCTGATTGTTTCTATGGCATTTAGACTTATACGGCTAATTTTATGACCCCAGCTCAGAAAAGACTGACCATCTAGACTACTAAAATTATGAAGTCATTCATAAGGATTTAAAATCACTATGCTAGCTGTTCAGCTAATGCAAGTCAAGGTAACTCGATTGATTTTAATGGAGCTACTTCAATTTACACTAGACAGTCATCTGGCCAATTATGTCCTGTTGTGATAAGGACAGAAAATGGTAGAATTTAAATCTATTCTGGCTGTGACTAATTACTTGAAACACTGGGGAAAAAAAAACAGACATTGAAATATTCTTGTTTATACACATATGAACCTGCTCTTTTTTCCTTTCCTGTCAGAAAATTTCCACCCTGACAGTTATAGGCAGAAACCACTAGGTGCCAGTGTTACCCAGACATCAGGAAAAGGCTTTGTCAGAAACATTAAAAACAACATGAAAGCCAATGCAGCTAAACCCTTTTAAATGAAAATAAAGCTTCTGCATCTTTTCAACTATATAAGACTGCATTAAGATTTTTGAGATTATTATTTTTCTAGAACTAAAGGTACTAAATTGATGTGCATCAACAGAAACCCACATCAAAACAATCTGATTGCAGGACACATTTCCATCAGAAACCCACGTAAGTACACAAAAGCTGCCATGCCACCTGCAAGACCCTATGAATTACACCTAGATCGTAAGGCAGAGCCAAAGTCTGCATTTCGCAAAGTACATGTAGCTTAAACATATGGTGTGAATAGCAGTTCACTTCTAAGATAGACATTTTACAGGAAAAGGTTGGTTCAGATCAAGTTAGAATTCACATTCCAAGACATACCTGAAGTTTGGATTGACCCATTGGCATATATCAGAGTTTTCATTTGGGCTCATCTCCATTACTGTCATGGTCTTCTGAAATCTTTCTGTGCTAAAAGAAATTGAAATCTTCTATTTAGGGAGCTGGAACAGCTAGAGGCACCTGATTGCCTGTGCATGGGAGTTATGAATGCAAATCTCTGACTAACCTGTACTCAGCTCATTTGCAAGAGATGAATCTCACTCATTTAACTTCAGACATCTACAGTGTAACTGTTTACATCCATGCCAGTCATCTTGATTTTTTTGATGTGGAGAAGCAGTCATTTCCTGCCTATGATTCATGTGGCCAATTTCAGAAACCACCTTAGCATAAGATGAACTGCAAAACAAACTTAGATGATTGATTAGCTCAGGAGCTGAATACTATACTGAAGACATCTTAAGTTTTGTCAGATTAATCCAACCAAAGTGATTTTGCAATGCTTAATTTTTAGTCAAATCTTATGTTTTGCCTTCATTCTTTCTACAGCCATTAGACTTTGAAACGAAAAAGGCATACACCTTTAAAGTTGAGGCCTCCAATCTCCATCTTGACCATCGATTTCACTCAGTGGGACCATTCAAAGATACTGCCACAGTGAAGATAAATGTGTTGGACATGGATGAACCTCCAGTGTTCAGCAAGCCTATGTACACGATGGAGGTTTATGAGGATACGCCTGTGGGCACCATTATAGGTGCAGTGACAGCACAAGACCTCGATGCAGGCAGCAGCTCGGTTAGGTAAGAAAGCTTTTCCTCCTTCAATAACTCACTGACAAACCAAAGTATCGCTGGCAGTGAGACACAGTAGCAAAGAGCTTAGTCAGAAGATATAAAATATACCAAGTCTGTCACTATAAAGGTAACTGATGCTCTGAAAAGCATTGAAAAGAGATACTAGTTTGGGTGAATTATCTGGGAAAATACATTAAGTGCTGACAGCTTCTTATCATACTGATCATATATGTTACCATGCACTGACATGACTTCAGAGATGGTGTGCTCAGACTGAGGAAATCAAAGCATTGTTTTGCTTGGTGTCTGGGGGTTCCATAAAAGTGTCTCTGAAGTACAGTAGTGAAAGAGGAGGTTGTACATGCTATATCTGTTTGAGACCTCAATGGGTGACAGTAAGTACTGCCCCTTTCACAAGAACCACTTAGTCACTATATCTGGCAAAGAACAAATGCTCTGATAAATAATTGTCACACATGTCTTGGCTGAGGCTGTGGGGATGTGATTGCTGACCAACATGGCTGTGTTGAGCACAAGTAAACTCCTGCCAGGAAAATCCCTCATTTACTGGTATACCTTATTCTCCTGAAATAAAAGGAAGGGAGGAGCTGTTATACAAATGTACTATGTTGATTTTGCTGGTCTGTTTCCATCCACATTAGAAACTCTAAAGAGAACCAGAGTCATGCACCAATAAGGAAACACCAATGCAGACACGGTCTAAGATGTAGGCAGTCATTGCACATTCTTCCAGTACCAATTCATGCTGGGCCTACTTGACTTCAGGAAATATTTTTGTCTCCAGACTTTCATGAGAAATATTGCGGACATAATGCATGTCATCAGTCGTTAACTATTAATGTTTATCAGACTATGACAGAAGAGGAAAATGCCCCTAGTGTCTACCATGTGCATAGACATTCATGCATATTTGATTACAAATTGAATTTATACTTTTAAAATCCATGTTTACTAATTATGTGCATTTTGGCTCACTACTTATATTCTCAAAATGTACAATAAACATTCTAGTTGTAATCATATACAGAAAAATAACATATAACAGTGACTGGTTAGCTCCTGCTTTGTCAATTCACTGTTAATTTTTGCTTAAAACTATTATTAATGTTGTTTACTTCACTTTTTTTAATAGAATCTTATATTTTTTCTAATACAGAAATTTATTTGTTCATGAATCTCTGACACATTCCCTCCCTGAAAAAAGATCAAAACCTTCACTAATAAAGACTGAAGTGGGAAACTTTTTCCCTGGTGGTAGCCTGTGAAAATAGCCCCACTTAAGTCAATATCCTG